TCCTTCCTCCCCTTCCCTCCTCCAGATCAGCTTCCCTTCCACTTCCTTAAACACTCTTTCAATGATTTCCCACACTTTTCCACTCCTATACCTTTCTTCCTGCACCTTCCCACATTCCTTCCTTCCCCTCTCCCCCTCCTCGGAGAGCCCGCCTGCTTGCTCGGCTGCATATTCATGGGCTACAGGACATGGAACAGAAACGGAATCTGAAACCAAAGGCACAGGAGACACATTAGTAGCACAAACCGAAATCACATGGTTACCTGGGACTGATGGACAAGCTAGAAAAGGACTGCTCCCGGCCTCCCTCTCTTGTTCCAGAGGTTGGTAAACATTTATCTCCCTGAGTTGGTTGGGAAGTCCTTTGGTCAACCTGGTGATCTTTCCACTCTACCCCTGGTTCACCCCTAGATGGCGTGTTCTTGCTCTGCTTCCGGTTCTCCCGGTTTGCCCCTTTTGATAATCCTTGCACACTCTGTAGTCTTGGGAATGAGATAAGCCGATTGCAATCTTCACCCTGAAATAAGCTTGCAATATTCCACCCATCCATGTCACCTTCAGCACAACTACCTTCGTCGTTTACACTGCCCACGCTAGTGCCATCAACAGAAAGGTCCTCCGATTCATCATTGCCTTCACTGCCCTGCACCCAGCCTTCAATCTTCTCTTTTTTCTCTTCAGTTCTTCTCCTAGAGACTTGGGTTCAGCCTCTCTGAGGAGTGTCGCAAGGGGCTAAGCTCCTTCAGACTTTGTCAGGAAACCCACTGTAAAGCCCGCTTCTTCTCTGGTTTCCGGTGCTGCGCACATTCCCCCCTGTCTCGCAACTGGGGACGATGATAGACCGTTAACGTTGTCTATCTTAGTCGAAACCCCTGTCACGTGGTTCATTAAAGGCTCACACACCTTTTTAACAAACTGGGTTGGGCCCGCTGACCTGTTTGGGCCTTTAATAAGACCACTAACAGTCCGCATGGGCTTTTGCTTTGGTCCATTCTTAAACACCCGCAAGCTCACGTAACTTTTAAGAAGGTCACGCATGTCCAACCCCGGGCTCAGTTTGGTTGTATCAGGTCTAGGTTCGGTTCTTCCTTGAACCAACCCCTTTTCCTTGTTCAAAAAAGTCAGATTGGTGCCRGTTACAACCTGTGCAAAGGACCTGCCACCCTCCAGACTGTTCACTGCTTCCACACACGAAAATCCCACCCCCTGAATGCTACCCTTTTGTTTCTCCAGCATTTGTTTTTCCATTTTAGTGAAAGAGCTTTTCTTGTTTGAATCTTCCAACCCTTTCTTGCCACGCAGTTCTTCTTCTTCAACCTTCTCATCTCCCTCCCTACGAGCCTCTTTCCAGAGCACCGATTCAATGGATGAAGCCAGCCACACTGAGTAGCATTGACCTTCAACTAGCACCTCTATCTTCCGAGGAATCTCCTCAGGTTTTACTCCATTCAATAAAATGGAAG